ACATTTTTGAATATAATTCAAATAAAACTATTACTGACATAACTACTTTCATTAAAGCTCAAAATACACTAATGCAAATTATTCTAAATTGCCAAAGTTTTATAACTTTTTTGGATAATTTAGAAAATGCCATTACATTTGCGAAATTAAACACATTACATCCTGTAGTAATATCGGCGGCCGAATTAGAACAAATAATTTTTAAATTGACTGTTCTCTATGGTGATAATCAAATTCTAATTTTTGAAAATCAAAATAATTATTATCAGTTAGCAAACTTACAAGTTAAATTTACAAAAGATAAAATAATTTTTGCCGTCCATATTCCGATTTTTCTTAAAGATATTTTTGAAATATTCCACCTGTTCCCAGTACCTGTGAATCACTCCTTAATTATACCTAATTCACCCTACCTAATATTGGGCACTGACATGCAACAATATCAAGAATCAATCTGCCCAATCATTGAAGACACCTACGTTTGCGAAAATCAACTTACCCAGCCCATCGGTGATTGTGTGACAACCCTCATTAAATATGCCGAAAACAAAAATTGCCACGTAGTCAATGTAAATGTTTCAACGCATATAATACGACCAATCACTAGTAGATTTGTTTTGATAATACCATCGGAACAGAAACTTAAATTACAAATGAATTGTCAAAACAAAGAAATAGCTTTTATTGAAGAAGCCTGCCTAATCAATGTTCCATATAATTGTGGTATAAGTACCCAAAATACCGAGCTTTGGAATAAAGAAGAAATTTTTAAAGCAAACCCATTCTCACTGCCACCCATTAAAATTGAAAATATGGAACATCACGATGTGAAGTACCAGCCACTCCAACTACAATCGATTGATCTCAATACGATCAAAAAACTACGAGAAGCTGCGAAATCATCGATCCCCGACATTGGTTATGAAATTCATCCAGTCACTTGGAGTCTCGCCACTTCAACAGGAATGATGTTTATTTTAATCTTGTTAATAGTTATAGCATGGAAAATCTACAAGAGCCATTTGCTGCAAGATTCCAAGAAAACCAAGAACGACCAGTCTTCCGAAAACAACCCTTCGTCCCTGTTGTTTTCCACTTCGGAGGGAGGAATTATGTGATAGAAAATGCTGATGAAATGCTAGCTTCAGTATATCCGGTATCTGCGACGCGACGCTTGCATAAAAACTTTATATATATAACAACTCTGTGCTTTGCGTCCAGTTCTCCTTGTAGCAGGTTAAAGAAAACCTCGTAGTTCTGTTTGCAAAATAAAAAAGTGTTTTTTTAAAAACGAGATCCTTCGTTTGAAAACCTTAACTGATTTCAATATGGATTTTTTCAAATATCCCGAGCAGAGTATGTGATAGACGAAAACTGCAAATACAAAAATTGTAGCTCTTGATGCGGCCTATGACACCTTTTGAACCAATTAGCCATATTTTTTACGATTTTTGATTTGCGGCTAATAATTTACTCTGTAAAAAAACAATTTTCTAGGTCTTTTAGATTTTTGCCTATAATTTGAAAACGCTGTATGTAATCGAAAAAATGCCTAAAATAAATGTTATTGCACTGGATCTTCTGCGTCTGCCGGCTAAAGAATTTTGCCAATCGGATGAACGATTATGGAGGAAAACATATTTTTCTGGAAGCTAAAATTACCAAAAAAAAATTCAAACATATTTAAAAAATACTTGGTAATATTTGATTGCGCCCAATTTCTACAGTTTAAATGTGGACACGGACTTTTACTTCCCTGCTAAATTTGAAGTTGATATCTGCAAATTTAGGACCCCTAACACATTTCTCATTTAGCACGGAATATCGAGAACACCCTGTACAATAGGTGAAAAATATAAAAGAAAGTGAGATCTGAATAATAGTCTTTCAGTTATAAGCAATTTTCAATAATAGGACCCATTTTTCAGTTTTTTGAATTTGCGGCGCACTCTGTATATTTTTGAAAAATTTTCATGAATAAAAGTTTATAGAGCCGTATCTTCTGCTTCTTTTGGTTCAAGATTTCATTTGGTCTAGTAACCAGTTTTTGACAATGATGTTTGTAGACCCTTACACGCGCGATGTTTTATTTTTTTAGAATACTTCCAGACCCCCCAGCCCCCCCATTTTCAATAGGTTCCGCCACGGGGCAAAGCCGCATATATGTGCCAAATATGAAGTCGATTGCTTCAAATTTCGGACACTTACGAGTTTCATACCAAGGTTCAAAAAACAGTCGAAAATCGCGAAAAAAAGATGGATACCGGCGTCGGATCAGGCCCATTTCTTACAAGCTTATGTGCCTCGTGGAGGGTTAAAAAGGAAACGGTTCGAAAGTTATTCAGAAAAAAACAAAAGAGGAGAACGGAGAACGGACAGACAAAAAAAATTTTTTTTTCGACGGTGATCATTTCTGTACCAACGGCGATCCCATAGGACGTACCGTTATCGAGATATAAAATTTTTATACGAGCGCAGATACTTTCGAAAATTCGATTCTATCGATTTTCGAAAGTAACGAGATTGAATGTTTGTTTATTGGCGGCAACAAATATGACTACGCGGGAAACGAAGTAGAGATAGGAGTTCGAGTATAAAATTCAACAGTGGTTCTGCGACGAAACGTTTGCGCATGCGCGAACGCTCCAAGACAAAATAAATATTTGCACTTTGGTCTGCCAGAGAAATTATTGGAAACACGTGTTTATTTATACGCGCAAAGTCGGCGTTTATTTTACATATTTAAGGCCAACGAATTGCAATTCAATTTAATAACGACCAAGAAAATAAACGTTTCGAAAATATGCGATGTAATTTAACTGGGTGGCTCCCCGCCCCCCTTGACCTGCGATTAAGCCATCCGATTTGGAATTTGGCCAAAACAAATGCATCGGAGCCGACGGAAAAAGTTATTCGACTCATTTATAACAATTGGAAAAAATAAAGAATTTTTTGACTTTAAATATTAGCCTTATGCAGTGTATTAAATATTCAATATTTGAGAAATAATAATAATTTCTATATACGAGAAACAATTAATGATTAATTTGGGAAATAATAAATTAAGTAATTTAGTGTACAGGCTGCTCGTGTTTTAACAGAAAAAACCTATTTGTATACTAGATAGAGCAAATTCGATTTACATGTCAAGGGTTCGACTTTTTGGAAAACATTTAATGGTTAAAACCGCATGGCAATATCTGCACTACCATCCGAGATTTATAGGGCGTTTTTTAATTTTCGGACCTTTTGCAAATTGCCCATAACTTTTTTATTTCTCTGTTTTTCAGCGATATCGATTGCTTGGTTAGTTAGGAAATACAGGGCATTTTTTGTTTATCTATTAATAGACCGTGCATATAGCTGTCAATGTCAGTTAAGGACAACTTTTATTTTTAATTGAATTTTGTGTTCTATCACATATAATTTTAGTGCCCAAACTTATTTTACGAATTTAAAATATTCCAAAAGTATGATATGGTCTTCAAAAAATGCCCCCGTGGAGCTATTTTTTTATGTATTAGTAGGCCGTGAATAATATGTTCAAAAAACATCACATAAAATACAAATAAAATTAATACAATAAAAGTAACAAATGAAAATAATTTTTAAATTTTTTTCTTCCACCGGCGTCCCCTTCACATAGCACTTTATGCATATTGTCAAACAAAAACGAAAAATCAGCCGATGAACTCTATTGCAATACATATCCAGAGCGGCACCAACCAGACAAGTGACATAATTGAACATAATTGGAGCTCTCCTTAGATGCACTAGCGCTGGAAAAACTCTAGTTTTGACTATTTAAAAAAAAAACATAAATTCAAGCCATATAGTATCAAAATTACATGAAGGGGACGCTGGTAGAAGAATACAATTTTGAAACTTTTTTTCATTTGTTATTTTTAACAGCCCACTAATACATAAAAAAAATAGCTCGATAGGAGCATTTATTGAAGACCATAGACAAATATGATTGCCATATATTTCATTGATTTATAAGAAAATGGGGAACTGTAGAAAAAAATAATTGGTCTTTAAAAAATGCCCTTATACTGTTTTTATCAGAACCAAAAATTTTTATAAATAAAAAAGTTATGGGCAATTTTCAAAAGGGCCGAAAATTGAAAAATACCGTTTATCTCGGTTGGTAGTTAAGATAGCGGTTTTAACCATTAAGAAAGTCGATTTTGCTCTATCTAGTTCAGAAATCAGTTTTTTCTTTCAGTTGAGACTACCCTGTACTCACTCACTGTAACTAGTGGGAATTTTAGCAGAAATGAAACTACAGTGCTGTAATTGTTGGCAATAATATTCAATAATATTAGGTGAGTTAAAGAAATTTATATCAGTGATATAAAAATTGAAAAATATGCAAAACTATAACATGAATAATGGTGTATATGATATATTGTTTTTTTTTTTAGTCAGTAGTCTAATATGTAGTAATGTAGAAATATACTTTTGTATCAACAATTTAGAAAATTATTTATTATTTCTATTATATTAATTTGTTGTTATATTTAATAGAATATATGTTCAGATTGCTTGTTTTTAGTTTTTTTTTATAAATTAGATGTTTTAAAATATGAATTTTACCAAATCCAGGATTTCTTTTCAATTTTTTTGAGGAATGTTGGAAGAAAAAAATGTTTTCGTTAATTATTCGTCGTTATTTATTTAATTGAAGCAAGATCATAATTTAATTTCTGATAAAAGTGGTAATTTAGTGTACTCAAATACGAAAGAAACAATTTTTGAAGAAAACTGCTTTTCAGCCCCAAAACGCTTCGAAAATACGGATCCAAATTTTTGTACAATATTTTTTAGAAACTTGTCGTAGGAATTATATTGTATATCCATCCTTAAGCGTGCTAATAATATCATGGCACCAAAAAGAGTCAAGTACGCCTTGAAGTATTTGAAGTGGTTCAAACCACTAAACTTTTTTCCAAAAACTTTCAAAAAAATCCGTATTCTGGGAGGGCGCGTATACTCACCACCGAAGCGAAACCCGCGAACAGGGTGCCAGTACGAAGAGAGCCGCAACAGCAGCAACGCTTCAGCAGGTAATCCTCGCAACTTCCCATGTTTTACAGTCTGAAACAATAAAAAGTAAACTATAGCACGCTTATTTTTCTTCATCATCCTCTACGCTTTCGGAAAAGAAAACAGTAAAGGTACTGCCCGGCCTAATATGGCTGCGGGTCCCATTTAGGGTAAAAGTTACGCTCGTCCTTAATAAGAGATGTCGATCGACGCAAAAAAAGACGTTTCCCGTAGACGATCCCATATTTAGTGATACGTAGAGAAAAGCTTCGTTCGAAGAACTGACGCGTGTAATAAGGACGTCCGTCCACGTGAGCACGCGACGCAAAGGCATTGATAATATACAACTACAATTAACTTTTGAAACTGCAAGGCTGAAGATTTTGCAGTAAAGGCAACAGGAATGAAAGAGTTCATCTCCAAAACCGATGACGGTAACTAATTTTCAATACGGAATTATCAGAAATACGCAAATTTATCTGGTATACTTTTAAGCATGAAAATCAAATAAATTAAAATTCGATATCGAAAAATAGCAACTTCATAAATGTAATTGGCAAAATATTCAGCGAAATCCAAGGAAACAAAAAAAATTCGGTATATGAGAATAGTGAAATCCGGCAAACATTACGTGCTGAAATTTTAAAAATCTGTTAAGACAACTTTTTTTTACTTGCAAACTTTAAGAAAACAAACAATTAAAAAAAACTTTTAAAGGAGACGTGAAAGCGCGTTAAAACCGTGGTCGGATGGACGCCTCTAACGATATCCTCGCGCAAAGAAAGGCTTGCTCGCCTTGCGGCCTCACAATGCTCGGTTATTTTTACGAATCGAAACGTAAACAATTTATTTCGCAGTCCATTTTTCGATCCCGGCATTGAAAACGTAAGACTTAACGGGGTCTAGGTTGTCGGACGCGGACTGTTGACGATAATTAGGTCGTTTTAAAAGTCAATTAAGCGGCTAATTGCACGATAAGTATACGCTGTCGTTGTTTGACGTCGGGGCGGAAATTCAACGAGATTTTACTGCCAGCGGCGCCCCATATCACATACCGGATCGAACTTGACCCAAATAGGTGGGGCCGTAACCTTTGGACGCGATTTTCGAGCCCCCCCGGGGAGGGGTGGCGGGGGGAAATCGAAGCCGATTTTAATGGAAATCGGTTGCGCGAAATCTAAATTTGCGAGCATGCGATTTTAAGGCGCCTCTCGGTCCGCTGGGTATACAGCGTATTAGACACATTTATTTTTTAATTTATTTAGTTTTCCTCCAAACGGCAAATTACAAGAAAACCAGAATTAATTGATAGCAAAATATGAAAACACTTCTCTAACAAGAAACTAGAAAGCTTTGCTCATAATTTTGTAGATTTTTTTGTAGTCCCATGAAACTGACTGTCGTTTTGGGTTTAATTTTTATGTAAGTGTTGGTTTAAAAGAATAGATCTTGACTGAATTATTTCTCTAAATTTGTGGTTGGAATGACTACAGAATTTGTTCTTGGATAAGTTTAGTTCGGTAATATAGGCAATGCGCTAGACGCTAATTGATCTTTAATGCATTCATCGTGTTTTAGATATGCAACAAGTGTAGAGTTTGGCATTTTTGCAGAATATCACGAATATGTTTAATGGTGACACCGTCAGAATTGACGTCAAAATTCAAGCTGTGGGAAATATTTCCGAAAACATCCGATTGGTCCCTCGCTCGGATTCGTGGCAAACGAAACTGACGTGGTAAAGCGACGCTTCCCGCACACTAGATCGGTGCATAATTAGGTATTTTACAGACGGGAATAGAAAAACGGTATTTGACACACGAGTTTACTTGGCACGAGCGGAGCAAGTGTTTAATAAACGAGTGATTTTAAAAGTTTACCAAACGTGTTGCATACTATACATTTTGGCAAAACAACACGAATACATTCACTGACATGACCGTCGGGACCGACAAACGTCAAAATAAGGGTTGTGCGTGGAATGAAAAATGTTGGTGGGGGTGAATCTGGTATTTCAACAAGAGTCTTCAAGGATGCTTTTGCGGTGGTTGGAAATAGAATCCTGGACGTTATCAATGCGTCATTTTCCAAAGGGCAGTTTCCAGAGGAATGGACGTCATCTTTGGTGGTTCCGGTGACGAAGGTTCCAGGTACTAAGCTGCATTCTAATTTTAGATTGATCAACACTGTGACGAAAATAATTCAATTGTCTCTAGTCAATCGGAATTTCGAAAGGGACATTCTTGCGAGACTGTGATGGGCTGCCGATGACAATAGTTTCGTTTTGGCTGTGTTTTTGGACTTTAGAAGAGCTTTTGAGACTGTCAATAGGGATATTTTAATAGCTAAGCTAGAAAATGTGGGTATAAAGCACTTAGCCCTGGATTGGCTAAAATATTACTTATCTGGCAAAACACAAAAAGTAAAGTATGAGACATCTGAGTCTATCTTGGTGGATCGTGGAGAACCACAGGGGACTGTTTTGGGGCCATTATTGTTTCTTTTGTATATTAATGATATAGCTCAAGTTGTAAAAAGCAGCAAAATTACATTATTCGCCGACGATACGATGATATGTGTCGTTGGTAAGAATATCGAAGAAATGCAGCGAGATATCAATGATGACCTGTATCGAATGTTTGTATGGCTGTGCAATAATAATCTTAGCATTAATGTCATGAAGTCGAAGTTCTGTTTGTATGGCAAAAAACATAGATTGAATGGTTTGGATCTGGAGAGTGTTAATATTAATATAAATGGCGTTAATTTGCAATATGACAAACATATAGATATTATTATTTTAGATCCACAATAAAATTTTGATGCACTTTGTGATTATGTAATAAGAAAGTTCTCACAAAAGGTAGGTTTCATGTCTAGAGCAGGCAAAAATTTAACAACTTATACAAAATTGTCACTTTACTAAATAAGCAATATAGTCCTTCCAACAGAGCCTATCATCCATGACCACAGTATGTGTAGGTCAAAATAGAAAAACAGATTGCTATCGCTCTAAAATACCTCGAAGCATCGTTGCCGTTTCTGCATGGTCGCGGCAACACTGCTTGTTTAGTTTAAACGTGCCTCACCCCAAACGTAACGGGTAAAAGGAACAACTATACAAAAAAAAACTGAACAACCGACGGGATTTCGCGTTTTTGGAAATCGATTGACCGAAAAGAGGCTGGAAAGACCGGTTGTTATTTTAGTTTTAATAGTTTCCCGTCGATCGGGTCGTAAATTGTTTATTTATAATCCGGCCCGCGTAAACATTCGACGGGCGTTGTTGCAAACAAACAATTGCCAATCGGGTTGGCTAACGAGCGGCGGCAGCATGTCGAAAGTCTATTAAAAATAGATCATCGGTCGGTTGGTCCGGCGCCACTGTAAATTGGCCGGGCCCGCTTGATCCGCGAAAATCCATCTTGCACGCGGCCGCAGCCAATCGTCAGCCCAAATTGTCCTAAGTTGGGCTAAGATAAAATATAGCGGAGGCCACTTTTTTAATCAGATTGTATGGGCAACTTTTAAACCGTCTTCAAAGTCGAAATGAATGGGATAGAAGTTGGGAATACCAAAATTTAATTATTTCATTACTAATATGTGAGAAAAAACAAATTATTTGGTTTTGGTGTTTCCTTCCATTTTGAATGTCCCCAAAAACGTTTCATAACGAGATCCCTGGGTATTTACCTACAGGGCGTCCAATTTTAAACTATTGAAATGTTAAGTAGAACCGTGTTTCTGTACTTTTTTGCAACATAGAGATGAGTTCCACACATAAAAATAAATTGTGATTCTTAAATGCAGTTTTCAAAAAAATATATCAAAAAACGAATTTTATCCAAGTGATTTAAATCTTAATATTTTATCGCTCACTATTCTACTGCCAAAATTTTACCAATTATTCAGGTATCACGTGTAAATTCATTTTTTTATAAAAAGTGTTTAAAAAAGACACGGAAAAAGTTCTCATGAAAGTGGTAAACGGCACCAAACTTGTTGCATACTAGACTTTTTCTACAACCATTAGTTTTTAGGTATATTTTTACAAGACAACACCGGTATTTGACAGAAGGGAGTAGAAAATAGCATTTGATTCACGCGTTTATTTGGAACGAGCGGAGCGAGTGATAATAATAGAGTGAGATAAAGAGTTTACCAAACGTGTTGAATTCTATACTTCTTCTACGACCGTCACGAAAAATCACAATTTAACAAAATAAAAATAATAACAGATTATCAGATTACTAAATTTCGGACCATTCAAACAAAATTTTTACGAAATTGCCATTAGACTTGCTCGTTTATCGTTTCGATCGGTGCTGCTATTGTTGTCTCTTTTTAACTGTGTGAAGATATTTGAAAATGGTACAATTGATCTTGGCAAGATATTAATATGAAAACTGTAAAAACCACTAAAGTTCATGCAAAAGGTATGTAAAATTTCTGTGGGAAACTTAAATTATATAAGTAACTTTACTTAGCGACTAGTGCACTAGATTTTAATTGTAGCTTATAGCACGTAGTATTTAAATTTTTTGATATATTGCATAACATTTTTCTGTGTATTCGTTTTTGGGTACAATTTTTCAAAGCGACACCAATACATTCACTGACGTCAGACCGTCAGAATTGACGAACGTCAAAATTCAAACCGTGCGGTGAAATCTCCGAAAACATCCGATTGCTCCCAAATCTGTGAGGTAAAATCCCGGAAATGTCCGAAGTAACTCAGATCCGCGTCAAACGAAACTGCATGGGTTTGGGAACAATTGGATGTTTTCGGAAATATTTCAGACGCCTTGAATAATAAGTTTGTCAATTCTGACGGTCATGTCAGTGAATGCATTCGACTGTTTTGCGAAAATGTACCCAAAAACTAACGGTCGTAGAAAGAAAGTATAATATGCAACCCGTTCGGTAAATTTTTTAAGTCACTCGTTTATTAAACACTCGCTCCGCTCGTGCCAAATAAACTCGTGAGTCAAATACCGTTTACCGCACTTGTTGCATAATATACCATTATTGCATTTATCTTAAAAATATTG